AGTCGCCCACATACTAAATGCCATACATGTAGCTGAGCATGTGTATTGAGTGTACATGTATGCTCTAGTGTTTTTCACAACTTTCTCCAACATGAAGCCAATACTGATGTGGAATTTTTTGACTGCTTTGTCCAAAACACAGTGCTGAAGCAATGCACATTGGGCACTTTCTACTGGTAATGCAATTATTATTATACAGTGTTTGCTGCCAACATAGCAAGCAATACTGCTATACTAAATGCGTATTCCATTGGGTACGGTGCAATGGCTTTTCACTTCGCATCTAGCCACTGTTCTTCGTGCATTACTTGAATGCTTAGTCTCCATGGTAATGAAGCTAAGAGCCACACTGGAGAAGTTTCTACTGAAGCTAACTACCAAAAATATAAAATTTCCAAGATGCTACTATTACATAAAGTAGCTGTGTGCAATGCCACTCTGTTGAACACAGTAAGCAAAATTGAGTCACTAAAACCCTATTTGCCAGATATAAGCTGTTGAGACTGATAGCAGCTGAGCTGTATGATCTGATATGGATGGCGGTTCCACACTGACCAGCACATGTACACGTGCACAGGCAGAAGAACATACAAGTAATACACCTAACGTTACTTCGAAGTCCATCATGTAAATACAAGCGTATATACAAGCATCACTCCTGTTCTCCACAACCTGCAGTCCTGGGCCACTCCAGCTGGTCAGAGTGCAATAATTTCTGCAGCAGGCTTGACTTGGAAAGCTAATCACAACTGCCATGGCTGGAACATGAGTATTACCAGCGCTTTTACAGCGCTACTTGTATTATATTATTGTCAATCCATTGTGGTGCATGGCACTCGTTTTCAACAACCGAGTTTATGTCATTAGTTGCATATCCAACGCCAATAGAAAAAAGAAGGGGTGGGGCAAATTACCACGGTTGAACACTAGTCATATTGAACGGCGTTATGCCATGCCAGGCGCGCACACAAAACGCCCGCGCGAGTGCGCATGCATATACACACCCGGGTAACACACATTCGTGCGACTCTACATAGCCTGCACTGTCGTTCTATGTCATAGGAGTGAGTGCACACACATTTATATACATATATATGTACATGTAGATTGCCTAATTTTGCATACGTAATAAAATTGTGTAAGTATACACACATGTGCGTGCACACATAGATAGACTCAGCGGCATACGCATGAGTGTGTGCCGATAGGGCCACATGCCAATTATCGGATTAGTCTGTGAAAGTTGCACGGCACGACAAACTTTCGAACAGTCTAAAGATATGACACAATGAATGTGGAATACCCACCAGTGTGTAAGACCATTTCATACCTATTTCGCAGCGTTTGTGATTTTCGGAACGTCCCTGTTGATATTTGATGTCCTCACTTGGTTGATGACACAGTCACAAATTATCAAATTCAACTCCAATGCCATCCAATCTGCGTTCCGCGATACATGTACAGTGAACGGTGTTGAGGAAAGCCATGCAGCAATAGAACAGTCGAGACTCCCAAGCAGAGGATACAATTCAACAGCGTATTGAAGTACGAATTGTTGTAAACAATTTTCAAGACACAATTACAAAATTTGAAGTGCGTCTTGAAACGTGTTTGAAGTGCTTCGATGTATTTACCTTCGATCTCCCTGAATCGATCCATCCACAGCTACCCGACGAATTTACCAGTCAGTGCGGGAGATGATCGAGCAAGTTATATTTGAAGGTCGCGAGATGTCAGTGGCACTGGCAGGAAATCTACACAAGCGTATTCTGAAATAATTTTCTAAGACTCAGGCGTGATTCAAGAGCGGACTTTGATTTCTCCCTTCTTATAGTACGAGCACCAGTCGACATTGCATTCTTGGAAAATCTTCTGCGAGTGCTGCCTTCCCCTTTCATAGAAAGAACGAGTGAAGAGGGACACTAGCAGCAGGTTCTAGCTAGGTCGCCAGAATTGCAGAAAAGCGAGAAGACGTTTCCTGCAACGATTGATCGCACAAAAATCATCGCTACCGAAAAATTTACTGAAAATCTACACTTTTCAAACGATGCGCGCGCAGAGGGTGTGAGCCACCTTAACCCTTTGCGTGCTGAGTACGAGTTAAAGGGAAACTGAACGCCAAAAATAAGTATGGCTTATCCGAAGGAGAATTGGGCACTGATTCCGATGAGCTATGTCTCGAGCCGATCAGAGAAGAGGAACTGTGTCAAATTTCATAAATAACACCTCCCATATTTGGAAATTGGCCTTGATGACGTGCGTACTGCTTAGCTGTCACCATGCTGTGCATGTTCAGCAGTGTAATTGAATGGAAGAAAACAATTACTTTGGTGTTTTGCAGCTCTGTTTCGTTCCCTGACGGTAACCAAATCTAGATGTAGGAATCTGTTGAGCAGGAGAGTGACACATGTCTTCCCGAAGGCTGTCCAGGCTGCAGTGGTGATGAAGAAGACACGATCATCACCCCGAGATCGATCGTAGCGAATTGGAAAACTCATGGTGAATTTGCTTCCACTCCAAGGCAATGTCGAGGTATGAAGGGTGCTTGTACTGCCTTCCAAAGTGAAGAGGAGATGAACATGGCTTTGCATAGCTGTTGTTCTATGCCAACTTACCTACTCTTGCTGGTACCGTAGTGGCATATTGCAAATTTCGTGGACGAACAACTCTAGTCACTAGTGGCTAGTGAGCAACACTAACAGGTGAGATTTTTCAATTCGACAAAAATTGTTTTTGTTTGAGAACTGACAGTGGCAGTCATTAGACTCAGTAGGTGTCTCTCTGCTGCTTCTTTCCCTTCATCGGTGGGGTTGTGCTTGAAGTAAAAATAAATAGAAAATGTGGAACAAAAATCTGATCATGTAATTCGAATTTGAACTTCAAAGTATGTGTACATCAAATCACAAAAAATGACTGTCAAGGTGGTGCTGTGCATTGAAAAAAACTGGGAGCAGGCAGCAATGGAAAGGGTAGAAACGAAACCAGTAATGCAGAGTATTCATAAGGTAGAGGGAGATGAAAACGGGAGAGGAGTAGTGTCAATAGACAGCATCGTGTCGCATACGTTGTGAATATTGTGTGAATCTAATAATTGTCACGAAATTGATATCCAAAATTATTATCCCCTGAGTAGTATTATGGTGTTCTCCTGTGTTTACATGCAGAGCCTTGACGTTGCTGGACGAGCGACAATATAAATTACATAAACATGTAGCTCGTGATGTGGGATGACTGCCGTATCGCATTGCCAACGCAAACCCATCCTGTGTCAGTGCAGCCATCCAGCAACTTGAACTCCCCGGACCAGATGCCGCTGCAGCTGAACACCATGCCGATGGAAAGCCAGGACTTGATAGCGAAGCATTCTGGTCTGCACAGTACAAGGCAAAGAACAATTATGAATTATAATGCATTGTTATCTTTCCCACACTTCTTTGTAAAAACAAACAAACAGTGCCATTATCACAACACTTGATCAAGCATCTTGATGGAGGTATTTTCCATTGTGCTGGCTCAGCATCTGCACCAGGAAGACCATGTACACTTACACGTATCTTGTGTGTGTGTGTTCGTGCGTGTGTGTTTGTGTATCTGTATGTGCACACGTGTGTGTGTGGGGGGGGGGGGGGACGCACATGTTTATGGGTAGGAATGTGTGTGTGTGGGGGGGGGGGGGGGGGTACACGCACATGTGTATGGATGTGCGCGCTGCATGCGTGTGTCTGTGGGATGGGGTGGGGCTGCACGCATATGTGTACATGTGTGTGAACAATACAGCATGTGTGTATGTGTTCGTTGAACACAGGGTGTACTCCTGATTACATAAACTTCGTGATCATTGTGATTTCATGTGCTTTGAAGTTGAAATTCGCAATACATGTACTGATGCTTGATTAGATTTATGTTCCACATGTTCTATTTATTTTATTTTACTTCAAGCACTTGTACTATTCAAGCACAACCCTACCAATGAAGGGAAAGAAGCAGCAAAGACACCTACTGAGTCTAATGACTGCCACTGCCAGTTCTCAAACAAAAACAATTTTTGTCGAATTGAAAAATCTCACCTGTTAGTGTTGCTCACTAGCCACTAGTGACTAGAGTTGTTCGTCCACGAAATTTGCAATATGCCACTACGGTACCAGCAAGAGTAGGTAAGTTGGCATAGAACAACAGCTATGCAATGCCATGTTCATCTCCTTTTCACTTTGGAAGGCAGTACAAGCACCCTTCATACCTCGACATTGCCTTGGAGTGGAAGCAAATTCACCATGAGTTTTCCAATTCGCTACGATCGATCTCGGGGTGATGATCGTGTCTTCTTCATCACCACTGCAGCCTGGACAGCCTTCGGGAAGACATGTGTCACTCTCCTGCTCAACAGATTCCTACATCTAGATTTGGCTACCGTCAGGGAACGAAACAGAGCTGCAAAACACCAAAGTAATTGTTTTCTTCCATTCAATTACACTGCTGAACATGCACAGCATGGTGACAGCTAAGCAGTACGCACGTCATCAAGGCCAATTTCCAAATATGGGAGGTGTTATTTATGAAATTTGACACAGTTCCTCTTCTCTGATCGGCTCGAGACATAGCTCATCGGAATCAGTGCCCAATTCTCCTTCGGATAAGCCATACTTATTTTTGGCGTTCAGTTTCCCTTTAACTCGCACTTTATGCATGACCTGATCCACTACGTACGAGTTAACTCGCAAAAAAATCGCGCGCTGTATCGCAGTGCATAGACCAGTGTACAAACTTTCGTAACTTCGTCAAACATAAACGCATCGCGACAATCAATACACCGTTGGAAAGATCTTCACCTCATCTTTCCGGGGGTATAAAGTTCTTCGCGATAGGATAAGAATTCATTGAGCGGCGACAAGATGAACACGGAAATCACGGCCCAGAGTGAACGCGCGCTGTATCGCAGTGCATAGACCAGTGTACAAACTTTCGTAACTTCGTCAAACATAAACGCATCGCGAAAATCAATACACCTTTGGAAAGATCTTCACCTCATCTTTCCGGGGGTATAAAGTTCTTCGCGATAGGATAAGAATTCATTGAGCGGCGACAAGATGAACACGGAAATCACGGCCCAGAGTGAACGCGCGCTGTATCGCAGTGCATAGACCCGTGTACAAACTTTCGTAACTTCGTCAAACATAAACGCATCGCGACAATCAATACACCGTTGGAAAGATCTTCACCTCATCTTTCCGGGGGTATAAAGTTCTTCGCGATAGGATAAGAATTCATTGAGCGGCGACAAGATGAACACGGAAATCACGGCCCAGAGTGAACGCGAATTTTTTTGTTCATAACTTCTTTTTGTTGCAGAGCGTGCCAGGGGATTTCCCTTTTGGCACGGCGCATGCGTGATGGACATCAAATGAAGCGCTTGGATCTGAGCTTTGCAGCGCAGTTTGAATTGTGAAAATCTGTTGAATTTGGGCAAGAAGCCGAACAAGAATGTGAAATTGAGTTGTTGTGCCGTTCCAAGGCACGGTGGAGTAATTCGGAGAGGACCTGGATGTGGTCCTGATGTGTCTATGGAGCTGAGAGCTGCCAGGATGGATTCGCTTGGTCCTGATCTTTCCAACGAGCCCAGGACGATGAAAATCCGTCAAGGTTGAGTAAAATCAGAATAAATTTCGTTCGGAGCTGTGAGTGCATACTCCACCAAGAGAGTCAGTGCGCTGGACGGCCAGTGGATTGGAGAAAAGGGGCTCAGCATGCAAAGGGTTAAACCAGGGAGTCGTCAAATACTTTTTTATTTGACGACTCCCTGCTTTGCACTGTTTGCGAGCATAACCTTTTGAACCATGTCACGTGATGTGAAGTTCTGCCGTCGCAGCACAGCATAGAGGTTGTGCAGGCAGTTGCACACTCTTGGTTATGTACTCTTGGTATGACCAAGAGTACAATACATGTGACCACACACGTGTAGTTACATGATTGTACTCTTGCCTTGTTTTGTCTTGGTATGGCCTCGTATCGGTAGTTCTGCACCCTCCTGATTGCTTCAAGTGGTCCGACTTTCTAGAAAACCGAGCATGAATGCCAGAATGTTCAGAACTGCATCACGTTCACAGTCTACACTGTGTATCAGTACCCTGTAGGTGACACAAACGATCAACATTGTGTCATCTGCCAATTTGTCAAACTGGCAAGAAGACAAATTAGTGGAGTGTTGGTTTAGAGGATCATGTTGTGACTCGATCAAGAGCACAACCCTCCTATCCCCCCCCTACACACACACACACACACATTCTGATTACGGGTAAACAAGTCCGGGCTCTGACATGCCCGTCTGTGTAGTGGGTAAAGAAAAGTCGCAAAGGTCACGGCTCGAGCGCTCGGATATGCCTACTTCACTACTAAAGACTACAATCATACTCATTGTATCAATATGCAACACCTACATTGTAGCTAGGTACCTCTGCTTCAAAGCTGCATGCCCTGGAAGAGCATGCATCGTGCCCTCCTTGGCCCTGGATGCATAGGCATTCATTTTAGTGCTGAAACTAATAATAATAATAATTATTATTATTGTGAAAGGCACACATGCAGTGAAACTCGGATAATACGTTCCTATACATGTACAGCTACAGCTTGCTGACTTCTGCTGTATTATTAATTTTATAGTCCACCTGCTGCAATAGCACCCCCCCCCCCCCCCCCCACACACACACACTGTACTGTACTGTACTTGCTCACTGCCATGACTGGTCACGCGAGTCCCCCCCCCCCCCCCAGAGGGGAGAGAGATTCAAAAGGAATCTTGGAAAGATGACTCCAATTGGCCATTGAACCGCCCAACGGCCAACACCCTCTGAATCCCCAAACTCTGGGTTGACTTGAAAAATGATCCCACTTATGGGCTCACCACACCTCAGTATAAAGTGGGTGAGGACAAGGTGCAGAAAAAATAGGATTGACGACATCAAGGTATCTGTCCCGGGTTCCAACTGCAGTTACCCCTGGCCCCAGTGATGGTAATACTTGCTACTCGTGTGGGTGGCTAAATCAGAGTGAACCCTGAAATCAACACAGGTGGCGGGTACAACATTATGCCTTCAAGCACGCGTTGGCAACAGACCCAACACTATCTGAAATACGTGTGTACCCACCAAAAGAACTAGCTGGCTCCCCCCCCCCCCCCCCACACACACATGCACCTCACCCCCCCCCCCCCCCCCCCCCACACACGCACACATCTACACAATGATACACTTGCACAGAGTGCATGAGGATTGAGGAGTACACGTATTCTCATATCATGAACATGACATAGACACAGCATGGCGGTGCATGGCACTGTAAAACACACATCATCAACATCATGACCAGCAGAAGTACAAATACATACAGTAAAAAGTACTTCAACTATTGCAACTTTTAAGCAAATCATAGGTAAAATAGACAATTGAACCAGGGAAGATAGGATCAAGCAAGGACAAGCCGGGAAAATCGAGTGTTGCGAGTAATTTATCATAATAATCAACAAATGGATGAAAACAGAAGGCCTGGGAGGGACGCGGAATGAGACGATTGAAGAAAAAGCCACACCAGCCGTGCCCGACTCCAGGAGAGCATCTTTGAAGTCTTTTTACACCCACACTGGAGAGCGAGGCGCGTATCTACGCTTGCAGCACCAACAGCAATGCACGCTCAACAGCTAGGAAAAGAAATAAAATAGCTCGATCTCATACGCTCGATATTGTACGCACGTTTACTGACGCTACAGCACGACTTCTGCCACTAAAACTAGACAGTAACACGGTCAGGTCGTACGACTGTGTGTACAGAACACGGTCAGGTCGTACGGCTATGTGTAAAGAATATGGTCAGGTCGTACGGCTATGTGTAAAGACTAATACTAGTAATAGAGTATTATACTTGCAACTACTGTGAACATGATGCCATATTTGGCAAGCTGTGACAATAAATATACTGGTGAAACAAAGTACACAGACAGACACACACGCTTACACACACACACGGCCAGCCGCAGCTGAACAATGACTAGCTGAAAAGCAGAGTGACGAGATTCGGAGGACGGCGCGATAAATGTACGTGGCACGCGTGCACACAGATACCTCCGTGCCCTCACGGACAAAGTACTGACAAAGCTGATGGGATGGCTGATGCCATTCCCGCTAAAGTCTCTGCAAACGTGCACAGTACTCAGTACGGCACACTTCACAACGATGACGACACCGCCACCATGCAGTGCCATATATTGAAACACACACACGAGCACCAACACGAGCACCAGCACGCGCACACTCGCCATGTTTGAGCCTCAGCCAGGACCCGCCTGCGTTGTTCCAGACAGAGCGATGGGCTGTATTACTAGCTCAAAGCCAGTAAGCATAATATGAGCATGCTCAAAGCCAGTAAGCACATAATATGAGCATTCACTTACAGCCAGTAACACTTGCAGCCAGTAAGCATAAACGCACAGACAGACGTGCTCATCCTGATTCAAGGCTAGTTGGACTGCGATGGATGTCAGATCTGAGACACCCAGCTGGCTCAAGCGAATGACCAAGCACGGCTGCAGATGATAACGCGTATCTCAGCTGTGCTATGACTGCAGATGATAACGAGTATCTCAGCTGTGCCATGGCTGCAGAGGCTAATGAGTATCTGCGCCGCAACACGGCTGCAGATGCTAACGAGTAACTGAGCAGCGCATACAGATACACGCATTCACTGTGTTGACATCTCGGTACGCAACTGCAAGATTGAATTATGCCATTGCTTCCGGTGCATGCTACGTTTCAGTAGTCTCCATCTCCTCGACGCCGTCATCATCCGTAGCTACCGGCCCAGCGATGGACACGACCTCGAACTCATCCTGCGAGTGCATTACGGGTGCCGACGCTGGTTTGCCAGTGTCAATGACGAGCGGTGCGATCTCCAGTGGGGCTGGGACGCTCGGCGGGACATTCATTGGACTCATGACCGCCTGGCCGGAGGCAACGGCGAGTACAGGTGCGGCCGACGAGCCCTGCGACAGCGTACTCCCATTGCTTGAATCCAGGCCGACCAGGGCAACGGCCGAGGGAGTCTCGCGGCGAAGACGCTGCGCGTTTGGTACTTGGAGCAGCGCGCAGATTTTGTTCTGCTTGTCCGTCTTGACACGCTCACAGGCCTGGAGTATGCGCTTTTTGGCCGCCGTGCAACGTATGTGATCGTTGAACTCAAACTGGCAGGTGTTGAGGGGTTGGCGGGCTGCCTGTTTGGGCGTGTGTCCGAAGCGACGCCGCTTGGACAGGGGCTGGTGGAACGTGACATGAAGAAGACTGTTGTCACCAGAATCTGTTGCCACATCGATATCCTGAGCAGACAGAGATTCACAGGCAAACAAGAAGGCAATCAGGCAGGCACATGCATGTGTACACACGTGCACACACACGTGCACACACACGTGCAACACACACACACGTGCAACACACACACACACGTGCAACACACACGTGCAACACACACGTGCAACACACACACACACACACACACACACACACACACACACACACACACACACACACACACACACACACACACACACACGAGCATTCGTAAGGTCACATGGATGCGAAATTGTGGATAAGCCCACAGCAGGGAGGGGGGGGGGGGGGGGCATGTACAATGTAAAACACATGTAGCCACTGTGTAGGTTTAAAAATAGCGGCGCATTACGGTGATACCACTCATCTTATCTTTGATAGCGTTACAACTTGCAACAGTACTACTGTTCATGAACACAATGAGCCGCTGCACTAACAGCATGGTATTTCGGACCTGCATTTGCTACTACAAATCTGTACAGTAAAACGAGTCAAGGTGACCACTCGGATAAGGCGACCACCCGTCCCAGAAGACCATTGCAGCCAGGACCAAGGGATACTATTAGCAGTCAAATGGCACTGGGTAAGGAGACCACCCGGTTACAGAGACCACACTTTGAAAGTCCCTTGAGCGGTCGCGTAACACAGGTTTCACTGTATGCATCTGATGGGACATATCAGTGTGAAAAGAAACGGGGAGAACTGTATGCGTGGCATGCACAATACGTCATGTACAGTGCACTGCACGAAACATGTTACTGGTATATGCCTTGTGATATGCTGTCAAACTAAAAGCGTGGTATATGCCTTGGGATATGCTGTCAAACTAAAAGCGTGGTATATGCCTTGTGATATGCTGTCAAACTAAAAGCGTGGTATATGCCTTGGGATATGCTGTCAAACTAAAAGCGTGGTATATGCCTTGTGATATGCTGTCAAACTAAAAGCGTGGTATATGCCTTGTGATATGCTGTCAAACTAAAAGCGTGGTATATGCCTTGTGATATGCTGTCAAACTAAAAGCGTGGTATATACCTTGTGATATGCTGTCAAACTAAAAGCGTGGTATATGCCTTGGGATATGCTGTCAAACTAAAAGCGTGGTATATGCCTTGTGATATGCTGTCAAACTAAAAGCGTGGTATATGCCTTGGGATATGCTGTCAAACTAAAAGCGTGGTATATGCCTTGTGATATGCTGTCAAACTAAAAGCGTGGTATATGCCTTGTGATATGCTGTCAAACTAAAAGCGTGGTATATGCCTTGTGATATGCTGTCAAACTAAAAGCGTGGTATATGCCTTGTGATATGCTGTCAAACTAAAAGCGTGGTATATGCCTTGTGATATGCTGTCAAACTAAAAGCGTGGTATATGCCTTGTGATATGCTGTCAAACTAAAAGCGTGGTATATGCCTTGTGATATGCTGTCAAACTAAAAGCGTGGTATATGCCTTGTGATATGCTGTCAAACTAAACGCGTGGTATATGCCTTGTGATATGCTGTCAAACTAAAAGCGTGGTATATGCTTGCACAGTGCAATGTTACAAGACATACCGGTACTTGTGTATGTGTTTAAAAGCAGCAGCTGCTTACCTCAAGATTGGCAACGTAGCGGACAACACCCCAGCCGAGCTGTGTCATGTCCGGCTCCACTAGAATCATCTGCGAGTCGCCTATGAAGAAGAAACGCTTCAGAGACCTGAGTATAACATACAAACATACACGCACACGCGCGCACACACACATGCACACAAACGCACACATATGATGGACATTAGTGGTGAAACGAATATTCGAATATTCGTTCGATTTGTCACATTCGAGTATTCGTCACGTCACTTCGAATGCAGTGCCTGTACATACATACACGCCGAACACGGTACACTGCAGTGCGTACAGCCTGCCCTGTGGCTTTGTACTGCATGTGCGCACATGTATGCGCATACTGGATTGCCAATGTTGCACATGCCATGCATGAACTTCGAAGTAGCCTTATGTAGCAGTACACATTATGTGACGCTACCATTCGTCATACCTAATAGTGGACATACCACACAACAGATCCAGAATTATGATATCACTGGGAAGTCGTACATTGAAATGGTGTGCGTTTTGACCCCGGATTCGGATGCTTTACGCGGTCTATGATCCTGAACTACAGACCCAACAGCAGCCGAAACCAGCAATACCGTAAGCACGCCTGAACAAGGATGACTGCAACGGGCAGCCTGGCAGTGAAACCACAGCGTTACTCCATTCGCCTCTGTCGTCTCACTTGACGCTAGGACTCCTTGATGTCATCCAACAAAGCCACTAGCCTCAACGATCTATTCCAGACCAGCTACTACACATAAAGCGACAAGGACTTTGTTCCAGCACACCCTCTGAGTTCGTAATACACTACACCCTACATGACAATGCTATGAACAAAGAAAACGTCACCTGGATATCTACTATCCTCTCATAGCAGGACAATACGGAAATAGTTCATTTCTGAAAGTACGAGCTGTCTCTTGCAACTCTCCTGTGTCATGATCGTTGCCGAGAGCTCTGTTACAGTGCAGCCAAAGGCTGATGTGTGTGTGTGTGTGTGTGTGTGTGTTTGCGCGTGTGAGCGTATGTTAGTGTACAATGCTGTTGCACAACAACTTACTTCTCGGTGTCATCCATGTAGACCTCACATGCCAGAAGATCTGTGTTCACTGTTGTATACACACAGACAGACAGACAGACAGACAGACAGACACACAGACACACAGACACACACAGGGAAGAGAGTAGAGTGATTTAGTGAGAGTGTGCAATGATGTACGTGCATGCGCGCGCGCGCGCGCGCGCGCGCGAGAGAGAGAGAGAGAGAGAGAGAGAGAGAGAGAGGGGGCGAAGAAAGAGAGCGAGGACAAGGACACAGACACAACTACAACGTTGACTTCAAGGAAAAATATACGTCTCGTGGATTTTCGTAAGTTGCAGCACAAGTGTCGACAGCTAACCATGGGTGAGATCTGAGTACAGAGTGAACCGTGCCATCCGACAAGCTACCTGTACAAAGCAGCGAATTCCGGAAAAAAACATCTCCACCCGCAGATGTTCAGGGACAAGGATAGGAGCCACACTTGTTTTGTAGTTTTAAAAAGTAGACTCACTGAGGTTTGGCCGGTCGTCAACCTTCAACTGTCCATCGGTAGGCATTAGCGGCAGGTAGTCTTCCTTCTCACCGAGAAGATTGACAACAAGCTGACGTGACAAGAAGAACACTTGCATTGCCTGTAATCAAACAGAACAGCGGAGAGAAGGACCACGGGGAGCAGGATATATTATAGAAATTCCGAGCAGAGAAAGTGCTCCAGTGAGCAAAATGTAATTTTTCACAGTCAAGCACGCCATGCACCCCAGGATAATGCAATGAACCCAAAGGGAATGAGGAAAAGTGGTCATAGCAACATTAAACGCAAACACCTCAGACACACCGATGGTCAAGTCGGTATTGTTTCTCTTACCCTCCGTGTGCGTTCCACTTCGCCGTTGGGTAGTCGCTTGGAGAACGGAATACCTGTCAGTGGTGTGGGAGTGGGCGGTAGTAGGGTGGACGCGTCGTTCATCAGATACTCAATGTTCAGTCGTTCACCCTGAGTGGTAGAAACACACAAACACACACACACACACACAAACACACACACACACACACACACACACACACACACACACACACACACACACAATGCAAGACACTTCAAAGCTGGAAGTACATAATTATACAGACTGAGGAACACACATTTATTATTATTGAATATACAGATAACCCAAAGGCAATGCTACCTAAATCAAGGGGTGGCTCCAAACTAAACAGAGAGCAAAGAGCTACACTTGGAGGAGATAGCAGAATGAAGGACAACACAGATCTTTCCGTAATGCTCTGACAGAGTCAATAGCTTCAGTTTGCTACTGAAAAGTCCCCTGAACAGTGTGAACAGTGCAGGTATGAGCCAGTCATCTCCACAAGCACTGGTCAGTCATCCCCACAAGCCCTGGACAAGCACTGGCCAGTCATCCCCACAAGCTCTGGAAAAGCACTGGCCAGTCATCTCCACAAGCTCTGGAAAGCACTGGCCAGTCATCCCCACAAGCCCTGGACAAGCACTGGCCAGTCATCTCCACAAGCCCTGGACAAGCACTGGCCAGTCATCCCCACAAGCCCTGGACAAGCACTGGCCAGTCATCTCAACAAGCCCTGGACAAGCACTGGCCAGTCATCTCCACAAGCCCTGGACAAGCACTGGCCAGTCATCCCCACAAGCCCTGGACAAGCACTGGCCAGTCATCTCAACAAGCCCTGGACAAGCACTGGCCAGTCATCTCCACAAGCCCTGGACAAGCACTGGCCAGTCATCCCCACACGCCCTGGACAAGCACTGGCCAGTCATCTCAACAAGCCCTGGACAAGCACTGGCCAGTCATCTCCACAAGCCCTGGAAAAGCACTGGCCAGTCATCCACACAAGCCCCCACAATCACTGGCCAGTCATCCCCACCAGCTCTGGACAAGCACTAGAAGCAGCTCTCACCTTGGTAATGTTGAAGTATTCATCCTCAAACATGTCCAAGAACATATCGTCACCAGCACCCTGAGTACAACATGATAGCAATACAAACAGGGGGTTGAGCTCAGTAAAATGAGTATATTTCAATGCACGAAACCACACTGCCCAGACGGACAGTCGCGGAATGTTTCAAAACATCACAGTGTGTGTGTGTGTGTGTGTGTGTGTGTGTGTGTGTGTGTGTGTGCGCGCGTGTGTGCGTGCGTGTGTGCGTGCATGTGTATGAGAGAGAGAGAGAGAGAGAGAGAGAGAGAGAGAGAGAGAGAGAGAGAGAGAGAGACGTGTGTGTGTGTGAGAGAGAGAGAGAGAGAGAGAGAGAGAGAGAGAGAGAGAGAGAGAGAGAGAGAGAGAGAGAGAGAGAGAGAGAGAGAGAGAGACAGTGTGTGTGTGTGTGTGTGAGAGAGAGAGAGAGAGAGAGAGAGAGAGAGAGAGAGAGAGAGAGAGAGAGAGAGACAGTGTGTGTGTGTGTGTGTGTGTGTGTGTGTGTGTGTGAGAGAGAGAGAGAGAGAGAGAGAGAGAGAGAGACAGTGTGTGTGTGTGTGTGTGTGAGAGAGAGAGAGAGAGAGAGAGAGAGAGAGAGAGAGAGAGAGAGAGAGAGACAGTGTGTGTGTGTGTGTGAGAGAGAGAGAGAGAGAGAGAGAGAGAGAGAGAGAGAGAGACAGTGTGTGAGAGAGAGAGAGAGACAGTGTGTGAGAGAGAGCAATACCATAGAGATAGAGATACAATATGCTGTAGAAAGATACACCAATAGAGATAGACAGAGAGATCGATCAAAATCAAGATCAAACAGTATCCAAAGAAGTAAGTTTAGGTATCAGATGCAGCTGCTGAATGGCGGAGAAAGATAGGTCCTCTCTCCCTCCCCCCAACACTCACAACAAGCATACCTTGTAGAGAAGACGCAGCTGCCTCACACTGTCCTCGTAAGCACCGTGCAAGTGTGCGATGTGCGTGTCCGTCACGCGCTTGTGAAAAACGGCAGACTGCTGCTGCTGCTGTTGTGATTGGTGAGGTTGCGGTGGCGGCGCTGGTTGCGATGCCGGCACGGGCGTCGCTGTTGGTACGCCTGACGCCGTCGTGGACGCAGACGACACACCGTCGGTTTCATCCGATGCGGACGTCACATCCGACAGCGGTAGAACCGACGGTGCGTCCTCGTCTGGCCGAGGCGTGTCATCTACACCTCGCAAAGAGCCCTCGGGAGTGGACGATTCGGGCGCGCACGGGCTTGCGGACGATCCTAACGCCGATGAGGAGTCGCGCTTGAGAGACGCCGCCGAGGTGGTGGTCGAATCCTTGGTCTTGGGCAGTGTGTTGGGAACAGTGGGCTCAGTATCAACAAATGCCGCAAGTGCTGTGATGTCAACAAACATGTCAAATCATGATTTACAGTCCATTTCAAAACTATAGACGCGTACCTAGGCAAAAACCGTTATGCCAGCATCTATACCACATAAAATCTGTGATCACTTTGTGCATAAATTTTTCCAAATTGGGCGTCTGTTATCCAATCCTTTAGAAACTATATGAGAGTAATTGTGGAGCGATCCTGAGCAATATTCCGAAAACTATTCTCAAAAAGTTCCAGCCAAATTTGAAATATTTCAAAAACCCTACGCGTCTATAGTTTTGAAATGCACTGTAGTATTATTATTAATTTTTAAATAAGCGTCGAGGCGACAATAGTTTCAGAATTGCGATCAACAGAACGTGCCTTTGTATCCACTCGTTTTTTTTTTAATACAATAAAGGCTTTGTGAGATGTCGGTTCAGCTCGTTCTGTTGATCGCAATTCTAAAACTATTCTTATTTTACTTGGGTATTTACTACTGGGAATTGATAGCTTGTCGACGGCAACAACGAGACCAACAGAACATCAGCACCAATAGTACACGGAAGAAAGATGAAATACACAACACGAAGCGCAAAGGAAATGGATTCTCTCCTAAACGAACACATGTATCATTCTAAACCCCTACCAACACTACCTAGTGAATTACTGTCAATTAGGCCGTTAGTACACTACGGTACGTGGCTCGCGTGTTGCGCATTACGTTTGATCAGATTCTGACGGCTGTCAATGGTTTCGGGTCACGCGACCCAAGCGCGAGCCGTACCGTGAGCAAATCCTGACTTGGCCGTTCGAGGGCACGTCAGCATTTTCGTGAGCTCCAACGTCAGACGTGAACTCGTACGCGAAACGCGAGCCGTAGTGAAATAACGGCCTAAGCCTTATGCACACTGTACAGATGTACAATCAGTTTCTTCATGACGTGACAATAACGTGAAATCTCTCTATTCTGGATTGACAGCGCTGAGACGGGGATTGTAGCCACTCGCCTACTGAATCAACGCCAATAAACCTTATGCACATTGTACAGATGTATGATCAGCAATTACTTTCTTCATTTTTTCTCGACTTTTGCCGTTTGCATCTTTCCCTCAAGCCAAAGAATACTTTCTTCATGACAATTATGACAGCAATGTGAAACTATTCTATTCTGGATTGACAGCGCCGAGACGGGGATGGTAGCCACTCACCGTCTCGACCAGCATTCGCTACCAGTGCATCATCTGCGGTGGTGCAGGCGGCATCAGCAGGTGTGGACTCGCCGTGCGAGGCTACCACGGCGCTAGTGAGGTCGGCCGTTAAACCTGGCAGGAGTGCTGCTGAGGAGGCACGGGCGCGCGGGTCTTCTGTCATCAAGTGCTGAAGAACGACCAGCGCCGCCTGCAAGGTGATCAGGCGACTCCGCGTGCCTGGGACGGGTGTGCCACGTATGTATACACCGCGCAGGGGGGGGGGAAGAGAGAGAGAGAGAGAGAGAGAGAGAGAGAGAGAGAGAGAGAGAGAGAGAGAGAGAGAGAGAGACAGAGAGAGAGAGAGACAGAGAGAGACAGAGAGAGACAGAGAGAGACAGAGAGAGAGAGAGAGACAGAGAGAGGACACACACACACACACACACACACACACACACACACACAATCAGTACACATTTAGCCAGTCGGTTTTCACGCACTCCACATGCTCAAACAGCAGAGACTATCACTGCCCACACACGCACACAAGCATTGTTGATCGGGAACAAACAGAACAATACATGCAATCAAGCAGATTGCCGTCAAAGGAGTCTATATTGTAGTGACGACGGCATGCACTGACGGTGGTAACAGATAGCCAAGAGACATACAGCGGCTGCTTTGAAGGCTTATTCACAACTCTATTATTATATAGGTGCCGAAACATTGTAAAATACTGGAACTGGCTCGGTTCCGCAGCGCTATGGGAATGGAGGGAGATGAAGCTGCGGGAAGCCTCAGCCCTTCCTCAGCCCATCGGATAAATCATCATAATTTTGATAGTGTATAAAGCATGGATAAGAAGAACTCCCGTTATTGCAAACAAATGCCATCGCCCTTGGTGTTCGTCCTAAAGAGGACAGGGCAGTACATGTACCACTGACACTGTCCACTGTCCACTGTCCTGTTCTACTGCCAGTATACTTACAATCATGACAGATCTGATTGATCAGCTGGATGACGTGATCCACGAGCACACTGCGCACGTCCTCCGCAACCTGACGGCACAGCACGTTTACATACGTATGTGCACACATAAACACACATATGCACACACAAACGGAGACAACAAAACAGAACTTTCGCATTACATACTTTTCGTTTCGATCGACAAAGTGTTTGTCGAGTTTCTTTTGTAGTTTTAGTATCAGTTGATTGTAGCTCTTCCCGTTTCTCTGTCGATCATGGATTCTTCTTCTGGCCAGAAGTCAGCTGCGGCGTCCAGTGGCTCGGCTACGGAGTCCTTCCCGTTCGAGCGAGCGCAGCGTTCGTCAATGTGGGAATTTTTTGAGCGGACTTCATCAAAGGAGGTCAAGTGCCGTCAGACAGATTGTTGTGAGAAAGTCCTCGGATACAGTGGTGGTACAAGCACCATGGGTGAGCATGTCAAACGTCTGCACCCTGCTCTGCTGGCTAAGTCTTCGGCCAGCTCTACGATGACGCCAACCGCCACGATACAGAATTTCTTTCCTTCTACGACGCCCGTGAAAACAGCGTCACCCTCATCTGCTGCAGCAATAACCAATCGCTTGGTTGACTGGGTCACATCGGATTTGTGGTCACTCAACAACGTGAGGGATGACGGATTTCTTCAGCTGATGGCCCATGTCATTCCAGGATATGTTGTTCCATCCCGAACACAAATCGCTTCCAAGGTGAAGGAGCGCCACGCCACGTACAGGGCAAAAAAGACCTCGCTCGAATGATCGACGAGGAGGGGCAATGTTGCGCTCTGACAACTGATGCGTGGAGCAGCAAGGCGACGCAATTCTTCAACACTCTGACCTGCCACTTCATCACCAGTGACTGGGAGCTGCGTAGCCGTGTGCTAGACACATCCATATTCCCTGGCAGCCACACAGCGGAGAGGATTGCGGAGAAGGAAATGACGCTCTGCTAGCATATCTAATCTCGCCCACCAAAGTGGTTAGCATCGTTCATGCTGAGGCTGCGAACGCTGTTGGCTGCTAGTGCAAAGCTAGTTGAGGAGCATGGCTGGGAGTCGACCCCTTGTTGTGCCCATCTCCTGCAGACTGCTGCTCGTTCTGCCATTGACAAATGCCGGGATGTACAGAAGCTGCTGGCTGCTGGACGTAAGTTAGTTGGCCACTCCAAGCATTCGAAACAATCCATGGAGAAGCAGGTGCACCGACAGCACCAATTGGGCGACAAACCCCTGAAGCCGATTCAGGACGTTCCAACCCGCTGGAACTCCTCCCGCTCTATGTTGGAGCGTCTCCTGACGCTGTCCTTTGCGTTCAAAGACAGCACACATCTCCTGTGTGCTGTCTTTGAAGACCTGAACCAGCACAAGCACAGACACCTCATGCTGGATGACAGGCAATGGAAGCTGGCCGGCCTGTTTGTCAAAATCATGCAGCCCCTCCAGGTAGCATCTACTATTCTTGGAGGCCAGATCTACATGACATCTTCTCTCGTGCTACCTGTCGTGTGCAGCATGAAGAGAGAATGAATGATATACCTAGTAGGGCTGAAACGAATGCTCAATGAAGCGAACGAATATTCTCTTTCCGAATACGTGTGAAACGAAGAATATTCCGAATATTCTAAACCATACAATATCCATGGATACCTAGTTGTATCCATGGTAACCATAGACAATCAACTGGTGTATATCCCAATTACAGGAGGGACATTTGAAAAGGACAATGTTATCATTTGTCTTGCTGATGACAACACATGGAAGGTGGCAATCTCACCCACTTTTTGCACCAAATAAACCTGTTCGATATCAAAAAGGCGAGTTTCTGTACATTTACGAACATTCTTATTCTACTCTAACGAAGAAAATTCTTTTTCCGATCTGCACATTTCGAATATTCCTTTCAGCCCTAATACCTAGGGTACTTTATAAGTGAAAGTAAAGTACACTCAACGGTCTCTTATCCAGACGCCTCAGATACGGGCACGTCTCCCTACCGGGCACCTTCAGCTTGAGTTCCTATGGCGAAAAGCTTTAAATTCGAACTTTGAACTTTTTTTCGTATGCACAAGTGCTTATTTGTCACTGCCAACCTGTGTAATCCACCCATTTTATCAATGGATTCTTTTTGTATCCTGAACATGTGCAATACATGCCGAACAAACTTCTTCAAAAAACTATAATTATTATGAGACATGGTAGATGAGTTATCCTGAGATACGGGCAGTGCCCGGTCGCAAGGTGCCCAGATAAGAGACGTCCGAGTGTATGCTATATCCAGGGTACTGTACAAGCAGAAGTATTCGTCTGGAACTTAATTTCGTCTTTTTCGTCCGAGGAACGTTCGGACGAAATTAAATGCCGGACTAATGTCGAATTGTCCAGCTTTTCAACACACTCTCATGATCCATGGACGAAATTTACAACCGGACGAACTCTCTTTCTTTGGAGTTGGACGAAATTATTGACCGACGAAATGTTTCGCCTGTACAGTATTTCGTACTGAAGTTTCACCCACTGTACATGACAGCAGGTCAACAGCTCTAACCCACCACTGGTTACATGTACAGGAAAAACCTGATTTAAGCGACCACCCCACGGTACAAGCAAAAGTGGTCATTAAAGCCAGGTGGTCATTAGAACCAGGTCCCACAGTTTCTGTGTAGAACAGCCCATGCATGGCAAAACGGTCGTTAAGAGCAGGTGGTCGCTAAAACCAGGTTTTACTGTACCAGAAGATGGCAAAGTGAAGAAAATTAACAACAGACAACATGGACTACCCGCCTTAAAAAAAAAAGAAGCAAAACAGGGCCGAGTGGAGAATTTTCTAGTCTACAGTCTCACGATTATAACGTCTGCCCACTCACCTGATTGATACCGACTTGGATATTCTCAAACACTTCCGGGCTCACTCCTACACACCATACAGAACATTAAAGAAAGTAAAGTTTGCACGTCCGCGTTACAACCGACTATACAATGGTGTTGAGAAACACAACCAGATACAGAACATACTTCAAGTACAAACGATATAGACACACACATGCACACGTGCATGTACACACACACACACACACACACACACACACACACACACACACACACGCACGCACACACACACACAAGCCGAGGTTGCATAATATCATGCACACTACAGCCCCATTGTCTCTCTCCTCTCACCCCAGCCAATCAGTGCCAGCAAGCCTGTGCACCCAGCATCACACTGGCGTGGCTCACTTCAAAACCAACAATACAGTCAACTTTGCGTATAACGACACTCGGCGGGGCATCAGAAAAGTGTCCTTACTCGCGAAGTGTCGTTATACCCGAAATCTCATTATATGTGTTACAGCTAGATGGGACTTTGCTCTGGGCTTGGAAATTCTGTCGTTATTCGCGAATTGTTCTTATATCCGCAGTCGTTATTAGCGAAGTTGACTGTACATACCCATACACATACAGTAACAACAGCAACACCTGGTCAGTGGTGGTTACCTTTGTGTCTTAGCATGGCGTAGAACATGACGATAGAGAACAGCGCTTCACGATCATCACCGTTGCTCATTGCCAGTGACGACAAGGCAGTTTTCAAGTACGGACTGAGACAGAACAACAACAAAACAACACAGGTGCCAGTGATGACAAGGCTGTTTTCAAGTACGGACTGAGGCAGAACAACAAGAGAACAACAAAGGTGCCTGTGAAAAGGGAACACAAATACAAGATACCATTACACTCATACCTCGGTTATCCGGACACCAAAGTTACAGGCACTTCGGTCTACCGGGCACCCTTTGTGGGGAGTTTCAGTGGAAATATTACAACTCTTCTGTCACTTTTTGTGGAAATAGTGACGTCATATGCCATATCTATGGCCTTTCCCATCAACATGTATGTGATTCAGAGTTCCGGTTAGTGCCCGGTCCCGGACCGGCCGGATAAGCGAGGTACGAGTGTTGTGGGTGAGAGTGTTGCGGTACGGTATCGAAAACAAGCTAAACCCGGCTGTAGTTTTTAAAAGCTCTAGTTAACATAACGCCTGGCATTGCTAGAAACTCAGCAGGTCTCTCACAGTGTATATGCAATACACAGGATAGTGGTGTTGAAGAAAACTGCAGTCTTCCAGCAAGGGGTGTTGGCATGATGCCAAACACACAACACAGACAGAAAGACAAAACAGACAGACCTACACAGACCCACACAAATACACACACATCTTCTAGACTAAATCATGTTCCCTAAATACCAGCTCCCCAGAGAGAAAGCAAGTATTTGCCGCACAATGCTGATCATGAATTAGGCAACACGTTTCACACTGACAAAAAAATCCTAGTTACACACACACACACACACAGAACAGAGAGGCCGCACCTCATATCGCAGTGCGTCTCAAGCTCGTCACTCTGCACCGTCAGCGTATCCATCGGCGATGCGCCCGCAGCACGCTTGGCACCTGGCTCGTCGTCCCCGGCACCAGCACCGGTGTCTGGCTCGGCCTTGCTGTCGATACCATCGACGATCTGCAGCGGGTGCGGCGGATTGCAAGCCTCCGTCGTGACAGCGTCGGGCGTGGAGGTACCGACCGGTTGCGTCTGTTCGCTGAACACCCCGCTGTCCACCTCGCTGTCCAGTCGTGATATCTAATAGCATTGACACACAGCACAGGGACAATGCCACTTAGCTCACAATAGAGAAAAGTGGAACTACATATTTACCGGTTGTAGGTCACCCACTCATACTTGGAGCTTCAAATTTCCCAGTTCAAGGGCGGTTAGACTCCGGTTGACGCCATACACTGATGCATGCAAGACAGCAAAACGCGAGGGTGCCAGCTTTCTGTGGATAGACTGTAAGAAGCAGTGAGTACGGTAACAGAACCGTTTCACATCTATCACATGACCATACAGTCAGGACAGCCATGTTGGTTCCAACTCCACTCAACTCCTGCATCTATGGGTCACATGATGCAGGCCATGTTGGTTCCCATCGTCCACATGACATGATCACTTTCTACACAAATTGAGTCACATGACAAACTGATGTGAACACACACACACTCTACAGTGTGCACACACGTCTAACATCTCACTGTTTACCTTCGTTGATGGACGTGAGCTGCTCAGGGTGACTGCAGTGCCGCTATCAGAGCTTGTAGTAGCATTACTGTCGTCACCGTCACCAACGCCACCACTGACCCGCTCCTGGGACACGGTGAGATCGAGATCGCTGGCTGCCTGAGTGACGCTCTCGTCCTCATGCTCGTCGGCGGACGGCGAAGCGATGGCAACACCCTCCGCATCCGCCTCGGCCTCCAGTGCCACTTCCCTCCACTCGCTCCCCGGCGGCGGTGGGTTGGTGCTCGACGAGGCAATGTCGCTAGCGGTGACCGTAAACGACGAGGGAGCGCCTCCATCCGTCGTCGTTGTTTCCGCACGGAGTACAGTTAGTTCCGCTGCCGCCGGCTCCTCGCCACGCTCGGTGGCCATCTTGTGACGGTCGGTTTCCGGCGTCATACCGGAGAAGAAGCGAGACTTGCCCACCGACATGGTGCGCTGCTGCAGGACGGACACGCTGAATTCGTCGCTATGGTTACTGCCGGTGCCGTCGTCGTGCGTGGAGCCGCGGTGCACGGACACCATGGGGATGAGCTCGTTGGAGACGGTCTCCGCGATGTCACCGCTGCCGGTCACGTCGGTGAACGAGGCCAGCGAGGACGTGCGGGACGACCTTGCGCCGCCGTTCTCATCCCGGCCCGGCTGGAGTTTCGAGTTGGACGCAGATTGGCGCACCGCCGTCGACGGCGCTGCCCCGTTGGACGGCAAGCCGCGGGTGGAGGTCGAAGGCGACGGGGTAATGACGGCGTGCGGTACGCTGTTGACCGACGAGGTGCGCGACACCGGGACCGCCGTCACCCCGATGGGCTCTGCCGGCGGGATGAACGCACGCAGGCTGCCGTGAGACGGGTAGCGAGAGTGACGCGTGATCTTCGGTGTCTGGAACGGAGTTACAAAACACATACACGTTGCAGTCAAAGTCGGCGAAGAAAACAAAAAGACGGGAAGAAAACTGCAATCTGCCTATGGCCCAGTATGGGTCTTGCTGTACGATAAAGTAGGAGTGAAACGATAACACTTTTCAACTATCGGTTAGCCTACCCTTGCATCGATTTTGATTATCGATTATGATATCAATTACTGCATCCTAGACCTTCCTATACTCCACACAACTTGACACAACGCACCATCAAGGTTTTGAACATTTGTTTCAAGTAATCCAGAAGCGGGCACGAAAAACATTGGCTTGCCACACTGAATATAATACCATGCTTCTGCACTCGGTGGACACCTGCTCCGTCATCTTCACCATCATTTATCAATATGTCTTGGGCCATTAACCATTATAGCGATGCAAGCAACGCACAAGCAGCCAGCAATTGTAATGACCGAGTGGATGAAAACAAGACATAGATGCTCCTCAAGTGATGCGCTCACCGATCCGTCGGCGGGAATTGACGGTGGTCGAGTTTCGCCGCGCACAATGAACTCCGCCAGCGACGACACCAGAGGGCCGTGCTTGATGATGAGAAGTTTCTGCACGGCAGCAAAGCATGGCAGAGAAAGAACAGACCGGTTGATGAGCAAGTCACCAGAGCAGCATGGAAGTGTCTCTAAACATGCATACAGAGGCACAACGATTTGCCGATAGATTTATTTTATTTATTTATTACAGCATCTCATAGCACAGTGAGAACACCGGCCAATACAAAGAGAGAGGGTGTTAGCCAACCATGGCAAGGAAGGGAGAAGGGGAGAAGAAAAAAATAAATAAATCAATCATAATCACTCAACATCGCCAAACACTGCACTTGGCCCGCGTTTCCCAACCTACAGTGCTGCTCAACGAAATCCGAGCGCGCCAGTCAAGTATATGTACGCGTCGGGAGCTGTGCAGGCCTAGCTAGACCTGTGGACACTGGGATGTGCACTGGTGCAGGGCGCAGGGCTGACTCACTCGATTGGATTTCATCGAGCAGCACTGCACAATGCAGTATGTAGACGAACAAAGCCCTTCATTTCAACCTGTCAAGATTGCGTATGAACAGACAAGACAGCAGGTTCGAGATCAACCAGGCTTTTACGGAGTTAGGGCAGGTTTCACACGATCTGATGTGAGGATTTCAGGTTCAAAGTCCAAAACATAGTTTACGTGATTGTATTGAAAAAGTTCAAGAAATGGGCTTTACTGAGGATTCTGGTGAAGTCAAAATTTCCAAAGCTCAATAATGTCAGATTGCACTGTAACTTACCTGAGCGAGCAAGAACAATGACAATAGTCTACCAATACGTGGCTGCTCCTGCACACGGTAACACCCAACATCAACACAAACATCTCAAACAAGTACGAATTCAATGGCACGGTGCTCTTACGGGGAGATTCTTGCACAGAGAAATCATCAGACAACGTGTACCTCACGCGAGTGTCTCAAGGCCAAAGCCAAGCACATCGACC